ACTTAAGGTTTGAGTAACAAGTTGAAACTTTAGCCTCTCTGTTAGGGTATTTCAATCAAACAGACTCTTAGTTTTATTTTTGTAGTTCAATACTAATAATTATTACTGAAATCATTTAATCATTAAAATCCTTTTATTTTAATAAGAGATAGTCCTGAATCAAAACTTGACCATCCCGAACTTTGAGGGGGGAAGGTTTTTCAAAATCCAAACCATGATCCAAATTTATAGCACCAATCCCAAATAACTTTGGATCTGAACCTACTCAAACTTGGGAAGAAGAGGGTCATAATCTCGATCCACATCTAAATGTTGATGGTTCTGTCCTACCTCTGGAATAACCAAAGCCACTGGCCATAAATATGGATAAAATCCCTAGGATTCATTCCTCTAAGGAACACTTTTCTTTCTCAAGTACAGCATTGAAAATCACCTCCAACTCCTTCATTAACAACTGTTATGCCCAATATATTGACTAATTCCTTCTTCTGCGATCAGTACTTTTAGATAATGTATCTTAAGCACAGGCTGGCCAACACAGACCTGATAGGAAGACCGTATACCACTCTGGCCATCTGAAAGTTCACATTAAGAGAAGTGCTTTTGTCCTAAGGAATAAACTCTGAAATGTATATGAGCATACAGAACCAGATTGTGTATGGCCCTCCGTGGGAGAAGAATGCACAAGGAACTTTGGAGCCTGCATAGGAAAGGCAGCCACCACCACAGTGCTTAAGCTCAGACATCCCAAAGAGAGAGAAAGAATTTGGTACTGGTGAATGGTGCCAGGCTGACAGTGCTGGCAACCAGAATCTTATATTTACCCACTGTGCAGGTACAGCACAGGGCATAGCAGTGAAAGCTTCCCCGTGCTGCCTTAACCCTAATTCCATTTACACCACCAGTTCAATTGGCTGATCCAATGCTTGGCCTCTCTACTGAGACTGGCAAACAACGCTGCCCATTTGTGCTGGTTGTGGTGAGTTTTGTGAGGAAGTGGAGAGAGACCATGCAACATCCAACAGATGGCAACAATTTTCAGTTAACACTACACCTGGGCTATATCTCATTACCAATCCCCTGACCTATAAGCACTAACATTATTTTCATTATGTTTCATGGTACATTCATGATTTGAACTTTACACTCTTAGGCTTCCACCAAGTCAGTCTTGTCAATGTGCATCCCAGTGCTGCCCAGTGGACACTGATCTTCTGTTCCTTTAAACATTAATTTGATTGCAAACTACTGCCAGATCACATGAACCTTCCAGCAGCAAAGAAATTAATCTTAAAAGAGCACGAGTTAATAATCCCACCCATATACTCATATAGGGCCTGATTCTGTGATATGTCAAGTGCCTTTAACTCCCATGTCAGCACCTGTTGCATTTTGATTTCACAAACACCCCTTTATCCATGTCTAGAAGCTCAGCAGTTGGCAGGATCAAACCCAAACTGTGTATCCATATCAACTCTCCAAGTATTCATAAGTATCTACTAGACCTTGAACTTAACTCTTCTGTTACATGTTCAGATATCACAGTGATAAACATGATAGAAATCTCTAGATAGACTTGCTTCCATCTGGAAATACTCTTTTTTTAAAAAGGCTCTTTATGACTATCACTACAAAGAGCACAGAGGGGTATAAAGCACTAAGGGGTGTAGAGGCAGTAAGAACCCTAGATTGGTCAGGCGGTGCGGCTAATGAAAGTAAAAAAATGCTAACTGCTAAATGCTGCTAAATGCTAATGCTAAATGCTATTGCAAGTAGTGGGTTGTTTTGAGATTTAGGTGTGAGATTAGAGTGACTACAGCACTGGACTGAGACACAGAAGACCTGGCATGTATTTCTGGCTCTGTCACTAACCTGCTTTGATGACCTTGAACAAGTCACTTCCTCCCTGAACCTAGCTTGCTTCTCCCACGCTGTGCATCCTTCCCTTTTAGACTGTCAGCTCCTCAGACACTCTTACTATGGAGAAGTACAGCACAGTACAATGATGCCTGTAATCTTAGATGGACCGCTTGGTATTACTAGACTGCTAATAATAATGGATTTGAAAATGCAGACATAATTAAGTTTAGAGAATACTGATTTTCTATATGCCCCATTCAGTTTCACTGTGAATTTTTCATGTTTCATGCTATATTTTTAGCACCTTGTGTTGTTCTCTATGTGAACTACAGGAGGTCTAACACCAGGTGTCACATCATGCATTTGATCTGTAAGTAGAATTTTCCCATAAAAAGTAACGGGGAAGTTCTATTTAAAAATCTCCATGGAGTGATCTAGTCACAAGAAATGATCACTCAGCTTGTAGCCTATAACAAAAACACCTAAGAGGCAGTCTCTACTTCAAGCATAGGCAACCTCAGCAGCCCTCACAAATTTACAGAAGCCAGTAAAACTGGAAGCCTTAAGACTGCATTAGGCAAACAAATAAGGAATCCTGGTTGGAAGATGCCTTTATAAAATTAAAAGAAATAGCTAAATATATTCCTAAGTATGTTCCCTTCTAAAGTAGATACAGATAGAATGAGTACGACCTGGAAAACAGTCACATCAGCACTAATTCTTTGAGTATGGTTTAAAAAAAAAATTGATGTTAAAGTGACAATTGACTTCTTCCTCCATTGTAGCAGTATTGACTTTTATGGTGGTCCATGTGCAACTAAAGAATTACCTTTATTGGAATACCCCTTTAGATAAAAAAAAATATAGGAGGAAAGAATACCTTGATGACTATGGTCACGCCCAATACTCAGGGGACTGATATGTTGAGAAAGAAGGCACTTTACAGGACTGACAAAATAACAATGGTTAAAACATAAAGATATGAATCAGAGGGGTAGCCATGTTAGTCTGTATCCACAAAAACAACGAGGAGTCTGGTGGCACCTTAAAGACTAAGATTTATTTGGGCATAAGCTTTCGTGGGTAAAAAAACAAAACCCCACTTCTTCAGATCCATGCATCTGAAGAAGTGGGTTTTTTTATCCACGAAAGCTTATGTACAAATTAATCTGTTAGTCTTTAAGGTGTCACCGAACTCCACGTTGTTTTTACAGATATGAATATTTTTCAGAAAACCAGTAAAATGCTTCTAGAGGGATGTAAATGGAAAGTTCATGAAGTTTGGCACACTGCTACATGATCTTTAAAATTCCTCTTTCACACTAGGTTACAGTTTAATATTAAAATAAGGCTCTGGCTCTACAGAGCATAAATGATTTCATTGTGTTCTCTGAATTTACTCTTTCAACATACCTTCCAATAGAAAGGCCTGTTGACTAGTGAAATCAACAGGAGCTTTAACATTGACTTGAAGGAAGCAGGAGCATGCCTGTTGTGCACAATGGGCCTGATCCAAACCCATTTGAAGTCAGAGGAGATACTCTCATACTCTCTTGATGGGCTTTAGATCAGGATCCAGGTCTCTTTAAAAATCAGGGTCCTGTCTTTAGTTGACTTGTGAGCCTTGTGTTGGGCTCAGATGAGCTTAGCTATAAAAGAAAACAGGAAGTATTCCATGGCTATGACCTCTGACGTGGTCTCTGTGAATTGATAACAAATTAGTAAATTTCCCAATTGTATACAAAGCAACTGGAGAGAGAGTGCTGTGCAGAAACAGAGAAAGTCAATGGATCAGATGGCAGCAATGCAAGAGGAGAGGGAGCTAAGAATGAAGAGAGATAGCTTCTCAGAGAGCTTCCACATACCTCTCGACGAACCCTTCTGAAAGGGGGACAACTGTCATTTTAGACCCAGTTTTAAATAACACGCACCTGACATGATCCAGCCTAATTTGCTTATGTTGGCAATGTTGTATCATGAATCTGAATGGATAGAGTATTTCATTTATGCTGTCAAAGTCATCTCATCATTGTTCGGTGCTTCCAGTGCTGGTTTTTTCGTGCTGGAAGTTTGGCACACATTTAGGCCTCAGGAATTTTATTGAGAGTTTACATTACAGACTAGCACCACTCGTGACTCTATGTGAAAGGGATTCTGATTCCAATAGAAACACTACAGGAAGTCCCTCATCTGGCTACTACTTCAAAAATTGAGAGGGGGTGGGGATGTGAGCCTGTTGAGCATAGAAAAAAGAATGGTCCAGTGGTTAGAGAACTAGCCTGGGATTTGGGAGACCCAGGATCCAACGCCTCTTCTGCCACAGACTGTGTATGACTTAGGCAAGTCACTTAGACATTTCTGGAAATTCTGTCCTAAGGCCTTGTCTACAGTGAAGTGCTGCAGCTGCACCACTGTAGCATTTTAAGTCAAGACACTATTTACACAGACAGGAGGGATTCTCCCGTCAGCTTGAGTTTTCCACTTCCTGAGAAGCAGGAGCTAGGTCGCTGGGGGAGTTTGCTGGGGGTTAGCTCGGTTTAACTGTGTCACTCAAGGGAATGGATTTTTCACACCCTGAGTGATATATAGCTATACTAACCTCATTTCCCAGAGTGTAGACCAGGCCTACGTAACTTAGGAGCCTAACTTTCCCTACCTACATGGGTAAGTTATACCAGTTATACTGTTATAACTTCTCATATAGACCCTATCCAGAAAAAAGTGTCTGTTTTCTTCCAATTAAGTTTAAACCCCTTTCAAAGCAACATTAATTCACTTGGAAAAGCCCCTCCTATTCTGGAATAAGAATGTTCATATAGGAAGTCATACTGGTATAGTTGTATTGGTTATTATGGAGGAGCTTTGATTGCGGGGACTGAGATATCTCCAACACAAATGTGGCTAGCCGGGGTTGTTAGCTCATACATAATAATTATGAATTATCAAGGAACAAAAGCAAAATTTCTCAGGTAATGTACTTAACCTAAGGCCTCTTTGTATGATAAGTATTATTTATAACAAATACAACTTTTTATAAATGAATTTTTAAAATCAATTATCTATTAAGCATGCAATGGTTGCATCCTTACTTACCTAACACTGCTACAGAGCAGTGTGTCAGCTTCCCTGCACTCACTTACCTCGGAGTTTGAAGTATTTCAGATGGTTGGCAATGGCCTGCTCACCAGTCTCATCTGGACAAATTTTAACTCCACTAGGAAACAGGATGGACCTCTTCCTTCGAAACAACACATGCCTGTTGAGTTGTTCCTTTCCCATGAATTCAGTACGGTGTCTTGACTCAGGAGACAGCGAAGGGTTTACTAATTGCCCGCCATTGGGTTGAGTTGTTGGTGTAGCATCCTTACCCTCAATTTCCTCTGCAGCTGAGTAAGTTTCTGCTGTAAAATTAAACCATATGCAAGACTCAGCTGACAGACTTACACCATTCTATATATCACAACACCACTGCCCTGGATTTCTGGGCAGTACAGTTATAGTTGATATCCTGCAGTCCTTAACTTGGGCAAACCTCTAGTTGACTTCCGTGGGAGTTTTGACTAACAATCATAAAATTTGGCGAACAGGGATTTGTTTTTTCATTAGTCATTTTAAATGGGCCCAATTCTCCCCTCAGATGTACTGGTGCAAGAGGGCAGGGTAGCAGAGAAGGAGCTGCATTTATCATAGGAAAGATGTTTGTGACTTCCCTGGCTCCTCTGAATTTACCATGTTATCAAGGAAACGTATGCCTTCCAGCTGAATTTTCATTTGTCTGGTTCATCGAGCAATTAAGTTTCACATGCTCACTTGGCAAAAGTTTAAATCAAGATAAGCCCAGGGTTTTACCTCCTGAGTGGTCTCAACAGAAAAACTGCTTACGAATTTGTATTTAAATGTGAATTTAGTGCTGGCATGGTGGAAAGTGCTGTATTGACCACCATGGAGACTCAAGTGCTCCATTTACATGCAACACAGGCAACAGCATAGGCCATAGCAGCAAAAGCCTCCCCCACATTGCTGCTTCAACATACTTCACTCCTCACCAGGTGTGGCGAGTTCTGCCTTTATGGCCCATTCAGTCCTTGGCCTCTCTCATGTTGCCAATAAAGGTCTAAATCGAGTTTCAAATGGGTAGGTGTCCTCAACAAAGCTACCACTAGAGCTGGCAACTTTTTACGCCCAGTGGTTTTCTGACGCACTACAAGTCATCTACCCCAAGTATTCTGTCCTGACGATGGCTGGCTGGCCCTGTCTTTATTTTAAATAATTTTAACTTCTTTGCAGCATCTTGATAATGAACTATCAGCACTATCACCTTGATCCTGCAAACACCAATGCACATGTTTAACCTTATATATACACATATACCAGTTGGCCCATTGAAGTCAGGGGAACTACCCCTCTGAGAAAACTGACGTGTGCTTAAGGGCTTGCTGACTGAGAGTCTAAATAAGGAAAGAGAACAATTAAGCTAAGGGGTGGAAATGAGCTCTCTATTGCACGCTCCCTTTCTACACAAATCTTGTTTGATCTTCATATCTCTGGATTGAATTGTGAAGCCTGTCAACAATCAGCGATTATATCTCCTTCCCCCATGTAATTCATCACATGGCACAGTAACGAAAGAAAAAGGAGTACTTGTGGCACCTTAGAGACTAACAGATTTATTTGAGCGTAAGCTTTCGTGAGCTACAGCTCACTTCATCGGATGGATTGAGCCGATGAAGTGAGCTGTAGCTCACGAAAGCTTATGCTCAAATAAATTTATTAGTCTCTAAGGTGCCACAAGTACTCTTTTTCCTTTTGCGAATACAGACTAACATGGCTGCTACTCTGAAAGAAAAAGATTATCCTAAAGGCTTTAACTTGTTTTACCTTTATCTTTAATTAGCCCCCAAACACAAAAAGCCCACAACTTCACAGGGGGTGTGGGGGTGGAAAAGACCTGTCTAGTGGTAACCATAGTCAGCAAAGTTCTCTATTATTTCATCAGATGACCCAAAACTATCCAATTCTACACGTCCAGGGGAATATTGTTAGCAGACAAAGTGAGGTAGAGGAAGAATAATAAGGTATCAGAAACATTCACTACAGGAACAGTGATGATAGATTGATATTGTACTTTCAATCGAAAGTGCTGTTAAAACCATAGCCCTGACTTTGCACCATTAAAATTAACAGGAACTTTGCTTTTTATTTCAATGAATGTAGATGTAAGCCCCATATGCTCTACATACCCACCACCAAAATTCAGCCTCCTCTGGGGTGGAAAGCCACAGCCAGATTGTGCATAACCATCAGAAAGAAAAGAAAATGTTGGCTAGGTTCACTGTGGTAAACCCTTATTCTTTTAAGCTACAACAACATCTTAAACACCTATGCAAAGCTGCAGGATCTCTGATATTAAGACCTTTCTTTGTAAGTTATTAAGAAAAAGCAACAAATAAAAAACACTTTCATTGGTATTTCATGCAAGTGAAAACCTGGAAAAGGTCACATATCAAAATTTAACAGCCTATAGCTACATCTACTCAGTTACCACAATGTAAATCTAGAGTAACTCCATGGAAGACAATGAAATTACTTCCAATTTACACTGGTATTACAGAGCAGAACCTGGTCACGTAGTTCTCCATATTATCATACTTTAGATAAACTAAAGAGCTGTTTTCATGTTCATATAGTGCTATCATTAAACCATTGAAAACAGGACATGAGAATGAAGATAAGAGTTGTGTTACCTGTAAATACTTGAAGATCCCCTTCAATCAACACAAAAATCAAGACACCCAGATGGATTTTCCAAGGAAAGTTCAGCATATTTATTTTGGCTAAAAAACAAATATAAGGGGGAAAAGAAATCCCTTTTTAACAGTCAGTTGCCTTCCCTTCTTGAAAATTTACTGACGTCACATGTAATTGTCTTTGACAAAAGGATTATTATTATTAAACCACAACAAAAGCCAGCCAAAATGCTTCAGAGATTATTTTCTTCGCAAAGGAAGTATTCCACTTCGTTTCAGAAATAACAAAAGGTGCTGAAAGCAAGCTCCTTGGAGTTAGCAGATGGATTGAGGAGACAATTTTTTAGTTTTAATCTGGCCAGCTAAGCTCTTTACCGGATCTTGTCATGTCGTTAACAAGGACAGTACCTTTCACACTTAATTAAGCATGTTTTTCATTGGCTCTTCAACTTCCTTCTATTTTACACACACTAGCCAAACAACATCAATCCATGTTAAGATCTGGTCCACAGTGGAAGGTCTTTGTCATTAACATCTTTGCTCCTCCTCCACTTGTATTAGTTACATATATTTGTGAAGCTTTAAAATAATGTGCTGATTGACTTAGATCCTCACCCCCCACATAGGTAGCAATGAGTCTCTAGTCACATCTTTCTTCAGGTGACAGAGCTAGCAAAGTATTGCTACATCAGATTATAGCAATGCACAGACCTTACTCTGTAATACCCCTGTCCTTAGCATGGCAGAATGGCAGCTCGCTCCCAGATTCTCTCATCTCTTTTTAAACATTAACTAACCTATGAATATTATAAACAAGTCATCTGTATAGACATCAAGTCTAAACAGCTGTTTGGTTAACAAGTGAGCAACTTTAAATGTAATAAGGAAATAGAGGAGAGCAAACTGGGATGCTGCCGTAGCATGGTACAATGAGAGAGACCCAGCAACAGAAGCCGTCTCAGATTGCTTTCCAGGAGAAATTTGTCATGGAGTGGCAAGGTTCACTGTGAGGACTTACAAAATGGGCAAGACATCACCACCAATCCAAGTATCCTGATCACAATATCAATTGCTCCTAACACAGAAGCTCCCAAACTGTGGTCTGTGAGAGCTGGCTGGTCCCACTGTGCTGGTTCTCCTTGTTTACAGCTTCTACACTGCATGAAAGCCGCTAAAAAGATATTACATAGGTTCCAAATGTTATTTTTTTAATATAAGGAAATTTCTGTGATCATCACAAGGATGTCATACAATCCTGAATGGAACATCATCTGCATAATCGCAAATTGGGAGTTGCCCATAAAACAATCTCATTGTTACAACATCATCCACATTATGAACAAATTTAAGAAACCCTGTCCTAAGAACACATTATACAGGCAGAAAGGGACCAAGAACAGCATGTGGGGAGGGGAACAGATGGCTCCTACTAGGAATATGTGGCCAACACACACCAAATGACACCAGAAAACGAAAAAGTAGGTTGGTTAGCCCTTCAATCCTTATTTTTATCAGGGCAGATTGATTTTTGACCCAAATCAATGTTAGGATATTGTAGTAAGTTCTTACAGGTCAAATAAGTCACTTTTGCTTTTGTCTGCTCCTTGGGCTAAGTAACAGAAGTCATGATATTACAAAGCAGTGAGATTTTCCTCACATCTTTCTTTAAAAGTGCACTGATTTGAAATTTTCAAACTAGAAACGAAAATGTTGTTCCCATTATCCACCACTGTGCAGTTGGTCCTAGACTATCAATGCTACAAACGCTAATGCAGACAACGGCTCAGCTACTACCGCCACTATGACCACTCAACAAAACCTAGTCTGAGCACATTTTTATGACACAGTGGTAAAAATGCGTGAGCCCTGTCTACGTCTTAGAGCTTGCACAAAGGTACAAAGTTTTCTTGCATAGATACAACGGCAGAGGGGCAAATTCTGAGTGGTGTTGAGGAGCACCAGGTACTCAGCCCCATTCAGAATTTGGATAGTATGAAGCTTGACTGCCTTTCAACACAGCCTGCCTTAGCATTTCTGATGGCCATTTAAGATTTTCTGAGAAAGACAAAGGCCTTTCAAACATTTAAATGTGGTTGTAGTAACAGTAGCTGTTAAAGTTCCTCCCCCACTCTGAACTCTCGGGTACAGATGTGGGGACCTGCAGGAAAACCTCCTAAGCTTACTTTTACCAGCTTAGGTTAAAACTTCCCCAAGGTACAAATTAATTTTATCCTTTGTCCTTGGAATATCCACTGCCACCACCAAACTCTAACTGGGTTTACTGGGAAACGTAGTTTGGACACGTCTTTCCCCCCAAAATCCTCCCAACCCTTGCACCCCACTTCCTAGGAAAGGTTTGGTAAAAATCCTCACCGATTTGCATAGGTGACCACAGACCCAAACCCTTGGATCTGAGAACAATGAAAAAGCATTCAGTTTTCTTACAAGAAGACCTTTAATAGAAATAGAAGTAAATAAGAGTAAAGGAATCACCTCTGTAAAATCAGCATGGTAGATACCTTACAGGGTAATTAGATTCAAAACATAGAGAATCCCTCTAGGCAAAACCTTAAGTTACAAAAAAGACACACAGACAGAAATAGTTATTCTATTCAGCACAGTTCTTTTCTCAGCCATTTAAAGAAATCATAATCTAACGCATACCTAGCTAGATTACTTATTAAAGTTCTAAGACTCCATTCCTGTTCTATCGCCGGCAAAAGCAGCGTACCGACAGACACAGACCCTTTGTTTCTCTCCCTCCTCCCAGCTTTTGAAAGTATCTTGTCTCCTCATTGGTCATTTTGGTCAGGTGCCAGCGAGGTTATCTTTAGCTTCTTAACCCTTTACAGGTGAGAGGATTTTTCCTCTGGCCAGGAGGGATTTTAAAGGGGTTTACCCTTCCCTTTATATTTATGACACTAGCTCATGCCAGTAACTTTACATTTGAAGGGTCAGATCTTCATCCGGCATAAGTCAATGTAGCAATACTGACTTCAATATTGCAATGCTACCAGCTGAGGATCTGCCCCTAAAAGGTTATGATAGCAAAATGCATTACTTAGAATGTACCATTTATTGTTTTAACATTTAAATATCTTAAAACACACAAAGCAACTGAGTTGCCGAAAAAACCTCCTCTGTGATAATAAAACTTGCAGACGCTTGAGTCAAATGAATGCATGCCTCCAATATCTAAAACCTCTCAAGCAGCATTCCGTATTTTAAAACGAGCAACTTTAGAACTCCAACAGCTAATAGCTGAAACACACATGCCAAATTTCAGCCCAAAAGGAATTAGAGGCGAAGATTCAAATGGCATTTCCAATTTTAAAAAAATCTTTCTTTTCATTAAATTTTAACTTTCTGATGTGTATCAGAACTCTGTATGAAGCATTATACACGCGAATGTATCACCTTGACCTTAGCTCTAACACGATTTTTATTTTCCTTTTAACTATCTTTGTGTCACTGCTAAGAAGCAAGTATATTACTTGTGTTACAATTTTTCTGGAGGGCAACAGAAACCTGTTGAATGCATAATTTTATTGTGCAAACACAGTGTTAAAATAATTTCTTTATTGGTATTTGTTGTGCATACAGAAAACAAACAAATATATTTTCCAAATTAAACAGACCATAGAAACATAGAAAAGTTTCAACCACAATTTCTTATGAGCGTAACAGGGAAGATAATTTATCAGAAAACAATGCAAAATAAAGATATGTCCAAGGCAACGTCACCGATTAACAGTTCTAAGAAAGACGTAGGTGTCTGTAGAATCCTCCTGTCTTTTCCCCTCTTCCATGGTTCAAATATCAAGCTTCTAAATTGTCTCTTGTGATTGGATTGCTAGGAGCGCGATTACACTTTAAGCAACATCTTAATCATACGACAATCTCCTCAGCAACATATTATTGTGCATTATTTGAGTAAGCAGCAGCAACTTGGAAATGAAATAGTCAACTAAATTAATCTAACACTTCTAAATTTAATCTGCTCACAAGCTCTCCAGTGTAGTAGTCTTAGTCTTCCTCCTCTTTGGAGCTGTTGATCTAGAGTACACATTTTACCTTGCTCAGCAATTTGAGTGAAATCATGACGACAGGATGCCTGCAGTTATCCTTTCACAATATTTTCAGCATCAGCATGATTGTATAGTTGCTTTAAGAACATCCCCGTGAGGCCTTTCTTCTGACTCTAGGTTGCTGAGCTTAAATCTGGAAACAGGAGGATTTGGATCCCTGGTTACCTAATGAAGCATCCTCCGCCTCTGCCATTATCAAGGTAGGAGTGCTGTGTCTGATTTCCCCCCATCTTTTTCACTTGTGGGGTGTAGCATGTGTCTACTAAAATGAATTAATTTCAGGTTCAAGACTCAGAAGTTTAGTCTCAGATAAGATAGGTGAATTACAAGAGGTCTATGCCTTCCATTCCAATGGACAAATCCAGCAGCCCACAAACACTTTTTAAAATATACACTTGATGTATGACTACCACAATCCTTTGATGCCTGCTGATGACTTGTTATTTACACATTTTAATCAAGGATTTACTTCCTACAGCCTTTCATATCTTCATCTTTGTTTCTGCTGGGTTGCTCTTGCAGTGAGTTTCTCGAATTGACCTTTCTGTGTCTTGGTACCAAAGCATTCTCTGTAGGGACCAATCTTCTGAAACCTGCTTTCACTGCTGGCCTGGCACTGCCAAAGTCTGGCAACCTTCATTTTAAATAGACCAATATTTTGTAAACTATAGGTTTTTAAATAGAGTAAAGCACCCTGATGCCAAAGTTATGCTTGCAGAGTATAAATCTTTGCTATGAACTGTAGCTTTTGAACTAGTGTTAAACTCTATGCCCTCAATCCCCTAGTCCACTATACTGTGCTTGACCTAGAGAGGTCGGAAACATGTGGGCAAAGTTGTTTGTACTGGTTTGGCCCCTGATGCAAGTCAGAGCAGTCTCAGGGTGGCCTTATGTTGCCTTCAATGGCCCCCAAAGTGCCACTGCAGAAAGCAGGGATCTCCAGAGCTCAATGCTTTCCGGCCACACCCCCTCTCACTCACAGCACATCCATCAC